TTGAGGACTCAATTGAGTTTTGGGATTGATTGAATTGCATACATGTATTTTTCAAAATTGCAGGTTATCCATTCTATTCCGATTTCCTAAATCATGTCCAATCCTAAACGTGCTAGGTCATCATCTAGTCGCTCACACCGTCAACCAAATCCACCTCCAAATCCTCCTCCTATTCCTGAAAATCCAATTCCTAATCCTAATCCCATTGATCCTAATTTGTCTATTCAAAACTCGTGCTTCAATCATCCTGGTCCTAGAAATCATCGTTTTTTGTATTATCAATATTTCGACTCTTACAAAATTAGAGAAAAACGTATTCCTTCTCGTCAAGCTATGTTAGATATTAATTTTAAATATCTTCCTCTTTTACAAGAGTGGAAATTTGACAAACTCTTTGAACTTGAACCCATTATCTACCATCAACTTGTTCGTATTTTCTATTCTAATGTCGTTTGTGTTAAAAACTGAACTGAAACCGAAACCATAGGAATTCGTTCCTACCTCCTAGGACAATTCTTATATATTGACTCGACTTACATAGCCAATGCATTCGGATTAGATAATGATGGTATTTCAAATGAAAAACAAATCTTAGGATCTCGTTATAAAAGAAGGGATAGTGCAAGTGTCTTAGACCTTCATGAATGTTTTCTTCATCTAATAATTTCTTGGTGGTTTCGACCATCCGGAGGTCATTATTCTACTCTTAGAGCCTTGTATCTTTGGTGGTTACATTGTTTAGAAAACAGTATTAAAATAAACCTACCTCAGATCATTTTTGTTGAAATTGTTGAAACCGTAAATCTTGTTCCTAACAAGAAACTATGTTCATCTCTAGTTTACGGTTGCATTTTAAGTAATCTATTTTCTAAAGTCGGGCTTAGAGTAGGTCTAGATGCCTCATTTCCTCTAAAGAAACAAATTAATCTTCTTTCTTTAACAAGAGCGGGATGGATAAAGGATAATGAAACTGGTGAATGGGTTCGATCGTCTGAAAATACTCCGGGAGCTAGTTCTTCACGAGCTCAACCAGAAGCTGATGACGATCCCGAGCTTCAACAATTAATGAGAGACATCGATGAAGCCGAAGATGAGCCTGAGCATCCCGAGGAGCAAGCACAACAAATGCATCAAATGCCTCCATATTTTCAATCCTTTATGGAGACATTCAATTTCCGATATGCTACCATGGATTCGCGTTTTACTTCTATAGAGTCACATTTATCCACAATGGGAGCTCAACAATTAGAATTTCTTCGGGAGATGCATGCAAACAATGAAGCAACCAACGCGCGTATTAATGAACTCACTCACGAAATGGCCGCTATGCGAGCTCGTTTTCCTCCTCCTGATCCGGATGTTTGATTCTGCGCTTAACTTTAAAAACTTTGAACTAAAAGATTATTGTTTTAACATTTTGATTATTTTGGGATGTTTGAATTTGTGGATTGATTGATTTTGAATTTGTTTGAATTTATGGATGGTGAGAACTTATATATTTGGTGTGGTTAAATTTATTCATTATTGCATCATTTACATCATTTTAGCAATATGACCAATTTTGCCATGTCACATTAAATATGAATATTGATTATGAAACTAATGGCTAACGTTTCTCTTGATTGTGATCTTAGCAGCTTAAACTATATAATCAATTGGCTAAATGATTTCAAAACCTTGTTTAAAATTCTTTACAAATGTCTTTTTGATTTAACAAAAAGTGGGAGAAGTGTTAAAGTTTTAAAGAGGAGTAAGTGTTAAAGTAAGGGGGAGTAATTTTCAAAAACATTGATTTTTGATTTCAAAATCTTAAAATTACTAAAATATTTTGTTATATCAAAAAGGGGGTGATTGTTGAAAACATTTTGCTATTTCGATATAACAAATTAAGTTAAATGAATTTTAAGATTGTGCAATAAGGTTTTCTAAGTATATTCGATATAATTATTCGAATATCAAAACATTACTCTAAATCTTTCAAAAATCATTTTTAATACTTACTCAAGTGTAAAATTAAGTTTTAATCTTAAAACAATTTCAAAATAATTTTACAAAGTATTTCGAACCATTTCAAAGCCAAAAATTCCAGATTGCTCAGAGGGAACCGATTCCCCCCCAAGGGGGTACCGATTCCTCCTGAATGGTTTGGCTCCGAGAATTCCAGTATACTCGGAGGGAACCGATTCCCCCCCAGGGGGTACCGATTCCCCCCCTTGTGTAACGGTCAAAATATTTGAATTTTACACTTAGGGAACCGATTCCCCATAGGGGGTACCGATTCCCCCTACGCTCCAAGCTGTTTTATTAATTGTTTTCACACTAAAACGGCTATATTATCTTCTCTAATCATCCCCAACGTTTAGAAGTGATTAAAGGTGTATTTAAGCAAGCTTAGAAGTCATTGATCAATAACAAGAAACATCAAGCAACTAGAATCAAGAGAGAATCAAAGAGAAAGCATCAAACCTCAAGTTTGAGCATTTCAATCCTATTTTTCATTCAATATTCATCTTGCTTTCAAGAACACTTATTGTGCTCAATTGTATTCATTTTTTAGTGTTCTTTTCTTTGTTCTAGAATTGTGCAAATAATCTACCTTGTGAGGATTTCCTTGTAAGTTTGCAAACTTGTATTGTTCTTTTTGGGAGAGAGTGTTCTCAAGAATTTGGGGTATAATTCTTTAGGGTTTGTAAGGTTACTCTTTGTCCTCAAAAGAAAGACAAATTAGTGAATTTGTGGAAAATCCTTAGTGTGGATAGCTAAGGTAGTGGACGTAAACTTTGGTTGAGAAAGTCGAACCACTCTAAATCGCTGTGCAATTCTTTCAATTTTTGCAAAAGCTTTCACCAAAATTTTATTGCCAATTCACCCCCTCTTGGCCAATTCCGTATCGATTAACTCAACAAAAATGTTAAAAACTCAACCAAAAGACTCGAACAAAAATAGATACAAATAAATCTGATTGCATCGGTAAACGAACTATTAAAGGGAATTAAGCTATTGAAAGACCACCTAGAATTGCAAATCAGAGTCGAGCGCTGTGAGAAACTATCCACAAACGTAAAATCACGCATCCAAATTCAACCCGAAGGTTCATAGCAGGGAAGATCTACAAGATTTCAAATAAGCGCCATCTTGATAGTTGTGGCGTTGTCAAATCCAACCCTAAGAAAACATAAATAAAAGAACGGACAAACGATAGAAAAAAAATGAAAAACGTGTCACAAAGGCAGTAATAAACATGCAATACAACAAAGTTATTCTTATTAAAAAATAAAAGAAAAACAAAGAGAAAAGAAACCGGCAATCGACAACCAGTATCAAAATTGGTGTCGTCGCCGACTAAACAAAATCAAAGAAAAAATTAATCTAATTTATAAGAAACGATACAAACTCAAACAAATAAAAAAGAAGGCACAGGGAGAGCAGCTAAGGAAAGGGGATCATTTAAATTTTATAGTTCAATTTATAAATTTTATTTAGACAGTATATTAAAATTTAATTATTAATAATGCTTAATTAATTATTACAAAATGATTTAATTATTGATGTAGTATTAAAGAAACCAACTATTGTTCACAATCCTAACACACCGTTAATAATCTATGGCTTTGCTTAGGCCTTACACAATATATATTATATTATATGCTCCAATTATATGATTATAGTATCATTAATTGTAATATCATTTCATTTGCGGATGGAGAACCGATGGGCTATTCCTCCAATCAAATCTGTATTTTAATTGTCACCACCCATCTTTAATCATAAAAGGACAAATTTTGATATAATTGATTCATTAGGATGATTTGATTCGAAAAATTAAATTTTTCAATTTGAAAAAACTGATTCGAATTGACTTTGAGTTACAATTTCATAAACTCGACTCGAAAAAATTTTAAATTCGAATCGAGCTGTGAAATGCAACTCAATAACTCGAAACTTTTAGTAATTAGTGAATTTATTTTTAAGTTAGAGTCGAACCCTTGGACTTTGTATGATATATGTATATCACATATGAAAAAACTATAAATATATATATATATATTTGTATTGTATATATGTTTATAGAAAGTCATTTAAATTAGAATCAAATAATATTATAATATTATAAATATTTACAATTAAATTAAAATAGAAACTCGAAAAATCGACACAACTCGAAAAAATTTCAAGTCAACTCCAAGTTATAAAATAAGAGTCGAATAACTCAAATATTTTGACTCGACTTGATTAAACACTCATCCTAATGGTAGTAAAAATAGTGTATTATTGTAACCCAAAAAAATAGTGTATTATTTAAGTAAAGAAATCATATTATAAATATATAATTAATACAATATTAATATAAATTGATTAAAATATTACATTTATCTTTATTAAAATTAATTTTAAATAAAAATAATTATAATTATAATTTTCAAATATATAATATTATAATTCAATGTTGTAATTATATCGTATCATTATAAAAAAAATCCTTGAAAGCACAAGGAAGCAACAAATATAAAACCGTAAATTATTATAATTATGAAATTGATTTATATCATTTTATTCTATTTCTATATTTATAAATATAGCTATATTGGCAAATGATTTGAAGGGAAGTAAACTCTATAAGGATGGATCATGGATGGATCCTACCTTGATGGGGATAAGTCATATTTAGTCCTTTAACTTGCCCATTCTTTATATTTATATTGGTACCAAACTTTTTTTATTCACATTAGAGTACAAAGATTAAAATTATTAAATTAGAGTAAAATTACTAAAGCCGCAACTTACATACACTACAAGGATGAATAGAAACATTTTACCTAAAATTTAATAATATACTAGTAAGTATCCAAAAAAATGTCAAGTCAAAGTCAAAGAAAAAACATGCCTTTTTGCTAACATAAGCCGGGAAGCGCATTAAGCACTGTCAAGCTCCAACAGCCGACGATTTTTTTTTTTTATCTCTGTTTGTCCATTTCTTCACCCCTTTTCAAAGTTTTCTCCTTTCACCTTTTATACTTTTTTGTTTCTCTGTTCTTTTGCTTTGGTGAGGAGCACTGAGCAACCACTTGCTTTCCTTTCCTCCAAACAGAGACATGACAGGAAATCAAGATAGGGTTTTTTTTTTGTTATGATAGAGTGAAAATTAAAAGAAGAAGAAGAGAAAATCATGATAATGGAATGGGAAGGTGAAGAACGTCATCAAGAGAATCAAACCCAGAGAGATATGGTGAACGTAAATGTGAAAAATGGAGGAGTAATGTATGTCAAAGTGATGACGGATGAGCAGTTGGAGACTCTCAGGAACCAAATTGCTGTTTATGCCTCCATTTGCGAGCAGCTCGTTGAGATGCATAAGAATCTCACCGCCCAGCAAGATCTTGCAGGCCTCTCTCTTATCCTCTTCCCCCTTCTATCCATTACATGTTTGTCACCTTTCATTTATGGCTTCTCTCATGTCATGTCATGGCCATTTTATCTTCCTTTTTGCCATAATCTAAAAGGATTTTGCTCAAAGGTCTTTTTTTTTCCCCACTTGGGTCTTGTGTTCATGGTGAAGTGATGGTGGAAATGGCTTGGCGTTGCCTTTGACAGGAAACTTTTCTTCTGTATTGGTTTGGGTCAATTAGCTCTGCTTTGGTTCACTTGGGTCAATTTCTTGTTAGTTAGTTGAATGGGTTGACACGAATGAGTTAAAATACCCATTTAATGCTTTCGTTGTGAAGAACAATGATTCTTCAAATAATATATAGCAGACAATGATTTTTCACTTGGCTCTTAGTCTAGCTTCTTTGGTTGTGTCTCCTAACAATTAATGGGGGGTGTTGTTTGTGAACATATTGTCGAATTTCTGCGAAATGATGATTATGTTGTTTAACTCGGATACTTGATCTTCTCTCTCGCAGGTGGTAGGCTGGGAAACCTGTATTGCGACCCTTTAATGGCATCTGCAGGGCACAAAATTACGGCTAGACAGCGGTGGACACCGACTCCGGTGCAGCTCCAGATTCTGGAATGTATATTCGAACAGGGGACTGGAACTCCGAGCAAACAAAAGATCAAGGAGATAACCTCGGAGCTGAGCCAGCATGGCCAAATTTCCGAAATGAATGTCTATAATTGGTTCCAAAACAGACGGGCTCGGTCCAAGAGGAAGCAACTGGGATCATCATCCAACAATGCTGAATCAGAACAAGAGACGGAAGTCGAGTCAGCGAATGAAAAGAAGACGACAAAGCCCGAGAATCATCTGTCTCAGCAGAACCCTGCACCAAGAGCTGAAGATCTGTGCTTCCAGAACCCTGAGATGTCCCCCGAATTGCATTTCTTGAGTATCATGTCCAATCCAAATGTATACAGTGGTAAGCATGGATGGACTCAGATGAGCTGACGGTCCATGAAAATTTCAAATTCTGTTATAATTTAAATATTTTCTTTATAGAAGACCCTAATGATGCAGGAGATGAACATCTGTCCGGAAAATGGAAATGCCGGCAAGTTACGACATTTACGACCAGGCAGAAGACTACGGCATGGCAGGATGAGACATGAGATTCAGGTTGCGCAAACATGCCATCTCAGACTCTGTTCGGTGGGCTAGGGTCGACTGTGGAGATGAAGAATTTGGTTTAATCGTGGAACAATAGCATGCTTAACATAGTAAAGCTAATACTTCTAGTTTGAACATGGGATGAGCCAGTTAAGCTGGAAATAGACATCTTTCTATGATTTCTGTAGTGTGCCATTGTGTTTCGTCTTTGTCTTTTTGTTAATAGAAGGAACCCCATGAATGTTTTGGCGAGTTCTTCATTGAAACTAGGATCATGCTTGATTTTTCCGTAGGTGATGTTCTTCGGTCTGAGTTTGATAGTTAAAGTTTGGACATTTCAACATATGTTGGTTGGATAAATCTTGTGTAAATACATAAACGGTCCCAAAATAAATAAATCACGTGGATTGTATATATTATTGATAAGAGATTATATAAAAAAAATTCATAAATTCAATTAGACGATCAATTAATTAGATATCAATTCATGGTAAGATCGTATTGTATCCCTATGAAATAATGCAAGAGATAAACATTTGTCTCGAAGAACGAAAATGTCGAAGGTCCGAGGACGTTTGCATTCACGCATATATTCAATTTTTTTGTATTATGATTTTTTTTTAGTCTAAATAAGATGAAATTTAAATCATTAAATTCCAACACTCATATTACTAATAAATAGTCAGCCTATGAAACGGGACTTTAAATTTATTAAGTAAAATTATATGTTTGATTCTTGACATTATAAATTTTTGTAACACTTAATTCAGATTAATAACTAATAGTGATTACAAAACAAAACAAAACATACCTAGACTGTCTGTACTTCCTCATTCTGGCTCTTCCTCCTCCGACTTGGTTTCTCTCAAGAACCTTGAAATACCTTTTGGTATTTCAAGACTCCCCCACACAAAAACAAACCCTAATCTCAATCTCCTCAGCCCTATCTTTCTCTACAATCCTAAAACAAAACCAATTTCTTTCTTTTCCGGATATACACATATAATCAGGTATTTCAATCAAAATTCAGTCATTTTTCATTCCCTTTTTGTTTCCATTTGCATCTCATCGTTTTCGTTACTACTCCATCGTAATCATCCCTCTACAATCCCCGGATTTACGTTGCTTACCTCGTGGCTTTGTTTTAATCGCTCGGCCCTCCTCTTTCAATTTGGTTGTTAGTTTTGATTGCAAGATCATCAAATTTTCCATAGGTTTTACTGGTAATTCTGCAACAGAATCTGCAGATAGGGTTTTCAGTCTTTATGTCTTTCACGACGAATGAAATATCTTTCAATGATCACCTGCTTGCATTTATGCTATTTCCAAACTGGGTTTTATTTATTTATTTATCTGAGATTTTCTTTATTTGTTTTTTTGTCTTGTAATTCAGATTTTCTTTTTGGGTTTTGTTTACCATTGAACACTGAATCTATGATTGTTGAGGTTATAGAATCAATGTGAATATGAGCGGTTGGATTATCCTTGTAAATAATTTACTCATTCTCTTGTACTTCAGATTATAATAAGCTGGATTTAATGGAGGCTAACATTTGTGACATTAATCACTTGGACGCCGATGTCCTTTTGCCTCCTCGGAAGCGCCTGTTAGCAGGTTTTAAGAAACAGGCTTCGAATGCAAATGCCACGTCAGACCGGCCAATAACTTCTTCTTCCACTTCATCTCCTTCACCACCTTCACCATCATCTGCTACTTCATCAAGTGATGTTGATGCTCATCTTAATAACTTATTGAGTTCCCGTTTGAATAATCCTAACCTTTCTCCAGAGGAGATTTTCGAGGCCTCGAGAACAGCAGCTATTACCGCCGCTAAGGCTGCTGAAGCTGCCAGAGCTGCGGCAGAGGAGAAGGCTGCAATTGCAGCTAGCTATCGCTGCAGCTAAGAGTGCGTTGGACATAGCTACATTTTCTGATGATGCCGTTAGCAAGGATAGATACCTTAAAAAGAATAAGATTAAGAAGCATGTCCCAGTTCAAGTCTTATACAATAAACACCAACCGATTGAGAATTCTAGGGTAGATGAAGATTTAGCCCAAAGGTTGCATAGAGCAATCGATAGTTCTACGAGAATCTCATAAGGTTCACCAATATCTGAATGGAAAGGCCATCAACACAAAAGGCCTAAGAGCTTGCCAACTCTTGAGAGCACAAAGGTTCCCAATCGGGGTATTGTGTCGAGTGGAAGCCCCTCTTCCAAATTCTATGGAAGTACTATAGCAGCCAAAATCGATTCTGATGACTTGGTTAGGGAGCATGTGAAGGTAGCCAATGACGGAAAATCGGGGCAGTCGGTGTTGGACAATGGTGAAGCAGAGTCAGGTTATTCAATGGAGAAAGCTTGTGAAGATGCATATCCTTCCAGTAACAAGAGGGGAACAGTAAAGCTCAAGAATTTGCCCTTCAGTGTTTGTTCCTACAGGGATCGAGTGAATCACAAGGAAGAGATGATTACTAAGAGCTCCCCGTTGATGGAAAAGAAAATGGGTAATCCAACCGTTGTTAAGCCCGTGTTTTCCTTTGGAACTCTCTGGTGATGGTTTTATTTCTATTGAAGGTACACCACTGTGGAAATGCCAGGATTTCAAGGCCCCTGCATGTATCGAACAAAGCGAAGTCATGCAATCGTAATGATCGGTTCCGTTCTCGTACCATTTGGCTTCAAGGTTAGAGCTACAATAGCTGAGAGTAGGATTCACAATTCTCTTCTTAGAAATGAGTTTTACTCCACTTTTATCTTTTCTGCTTATCTCTGGTTTTGTAAGGAAGTTGAATTTGACAGAATGTACATTTGAATGCTCCAATTGCTTGCCTGGAAATAGAATAACACCCAATAATTGAAGTTGAGATAAAGAGGAATGCTATGCAATAAGAATTAGATGGCTCTTTCCTGGTTATTTTTTGCATATCCATCCGGCTTTCTGGGATGATACATAGATGTACTGAAACTTTAATCCCATATTGTTGTTTATTGGATACACACATAACACTATTCTAACGAGTTTTGTGAAGTTGATATAATATTTTTTTGATGGAATTCCAACGTTTCGACGTGCAATTTCCCGGTTTTGTCCTCGAAAACCGGTTCAGTATGAACATGAGTCATTAAAAATGGTAAAAGATTCTAACAAGTAGTTGTAATTATAAAGTGGATCAGCCAAACTTCCAAATTTCGTGATTTTACATATGGTCTGTGCACATGTTTCCAGCTGATGCAAGTGGATTGATATGCATTCCACTATGTGCTGTATATTCCCTTTTTTCTATTCTATTTCAGTTTATACATATGTAAGTCTAACTTCAACTAATCTAATTAATCAATTATCTATCACAAATTGTTTAATCTAATCAATTATTAACCCATAATTCAACAGCATTAACTAAACCCTTCCATACTTGGTTAAGTTATTCCCATTGTCTACCTGGGTTTTAACCCATCTGTCTATGTTACTTGAATCAAACCTGATTTATCCAACTTAGGTCCAACACAAATTAAGGTTAACGGATTAGTGCAGCTTGATGATAATGTAAGCAAATTAAATAAGCCCGTGGAAGGAGGAAGGTGTGATTAATTGGCTGGCAAGTAACCATCTAAATCCGGAATTACTCGGTCATTCTGTAATATGATACCGACGACGTTGCTTGCAACTTAATCCAATACTCGGGCAGTCAGCAATATAAATGGCAATGAATTTTTAAATGAAGTGATTGTTTATTTTGACATTATATATCTTTATTTATAATTAAGATTCGGAGGTTTCTGTATTAAACATGTTTATCAAAATCGGACCGGATCGGCCGGTTCAACCGATTGAACCGTGAACCAATGGCTTGTCCGGTTCGGTTACCTCACAAAACCGGCCTGGCAATAAACCGGCTGAAAATCGGTAGAATCGGAGTGAACCGGCTGAAAACCGGCAAAACCAATTTGAACCGCCGGTTCACTTTTTTTCTTTTAAAAAAAATTAAATCAAACGACATCGTTTGTTCAACGAGCCAAATCAAATTCGAGTATTGCTAAGCTCGACTTGAACTCGAAAACTTTAAAAGTAAGCTCAACTCGACTCAAAAACTCACGAGCTAAAAATTATCAAGTTCAACTCGAACTCGAAATATAATATTAAAACTTGAACTCGAAAAGGCTCGAACTCAAAAAAAAATTAAAAGTTCGATTGAAGCCTAAAATTTGAGCTCAATTGAAGCAAAAGAATAGTTCGCTCTGTGCTTACCAAAAGGCTCCATGATTTTGAATGTCAAATTACCTTTATTATTTATAGAAGTAAGTTGGGATGTTCTTCTATGTTTCTTAGTCATGTGGGATTGTTTTGTTCTCATATTTTTACTCTTTAAATTTTTGGGATGCTCTTCTATGTTTCTTAGCCGTGTGGGATTATTTAAAAAAAAAATTAAACCAAATGACATCATTTGTTATGATTTTTAAGCCCCAATTTTATTTTTTTGATTATAGTTATATAATTATATTTATTATTTAATATGTTTTACCTTAAATATTATGTTGTAGTTGATTTGAATCATTTTGTTTCACTTGATTTTATGGTTTTTAATTTATATATGTTATGACTTGTGATATTTTTATACCTTTTAATATTGTAAACTTAAAAAAAGTGTTACATATATATTAATATTGCTTTGAATATTATATAAAATTAAAAAAAATATTATTTTATATAAAATCCGGTTGAACCAGTGAACCAGTACCTTCACCAATTCAATGTCCGATCCGGTTTTAAAAACATTGATATTAAATAATAACAATATAAATTTAAGTAAAATTATTTGATATCGTTTTTCACGGATACAATTGGATCGTTACATTGTACGACACTTGAAATAGACATTCTCCAAACAAATCAATCTTACCCTTAATGATTAACTCGTGAAATCATGCGATGTTTTATAAAAGACTTTATTGATTATCTAAATATTCTTTTAAGGACATGTTCAAACCGACAAATTATAAGTTAGTATACAAACTATAGTATGATCTTGAAAACAACAAATATTCAATCCCACTTTTCAATTAAGAGCGTTATATGCGACTCACATATGGAGGGTATTTCATAATTTGGAGGTATCCTATGGAACTTGTTCTCAATCTAGTGTTGAAGACATCCTACTATCTTATCTCCCCCTTACCCCATTACATATGGAAACAAGTGACATCCATTTTTTATATCCCAATCCTCCATAGATATATATATATATATATATATATATATATATATATATATATATATATATATATATATATATATATATAAGAAGAGTATATTCTTTTAGCACAATATATTTCCAATTAGCTTCGGAGAAGTTGAAGCGTAGAAAACTCAATTAACAAAACGATAAATAAAATAAATTATTTAAAAATAATATGTTATTAGTAATATCATCTCAACTTTTCATAAAATATATATGTAACAAAAATTTTCTTAGCACGTAACCGTTTATAATTTTGTTTGAGAAGTTTTAAATCTAATCCTATCTAAAAAAGAAAAAAGAAAAAGAAAGAAGACTCTAAAAGAAGGAAAGATAATATTTTTATTGAGTTTAGAATCCAAAATCTAAATAATATGAGGAAATAAAGATGAACAACTTGACTAATAATATTATAAACTTTTCATGAAATATATTTGTATTAAAAGATATTCATTAGCATTTAACTGCCCACAATTCTTAATTTTTTTTGAATAAGACAAATCCAAGGAAACTAAATTAAGCTTGAGTTACAGTAACAAGAACACTCATATCATGCCTGAAGACATCTTGAAGACCTACTGGGAGCGAGGAGAGAAGGGTAACATCATGCATCAAAGGAGAATGCAGCTTTGCAATGCCATCAGCAAGAGAGTTAGACTCGCGAGGAACCCAAGTAACTTCAGTCACCCATGCCCGCTAGTGGAGTTGGAAGATGGATTGTACCAGAGAATAGGGGCTAAGCGAACTGTTGGGATTGTTTACAAGATTCACAGCATCGACAAAATCAGATTGAATCAAGAGAAGCTCAAACCCGTGACTCCAAGCAACCTCCAGACCCTGGAAGATGCCCATAATTCAGCTTGGAGGGGCGTTGTGATACCAAGAACTTTATGAAAACCGATTATCCAATTACCATCATGGTCGCGAACACCACCACCAACGGAACCAAAGTTTGAAGCTAGAGAGACTGAGCCATCAATATTAAGACAGAACCATCCACCAAATGGTTTTTGTCAATGGATGAGAGCAGGGTTCTTAACATTCACAGATTCCATAAGATAAAAAGAACAGTGGAAATACTTCACCCAAGTGATACTTTGGTTCATGATCGAACGATCGGGGCAGCAACTGGAGTTAAAGATAAGATCATTGCGCTTCTTCCATATCTGTCAAGCGATGGAGGAAAAAAGGAGGTTTTAGGGGACGTCAAGAGTTTCACTGATTGTGCTCCGATGGACGTTTGAAAGAATCCACTAATATGTGCTTGAAGAATAGAAGTCCAGCCTACGATTAGTAGAAAGAACATTTTCCCAAAGAGATCGAGCATTTGGGTAATCACGAAGAACATGAATCATAGATTCATCTGGATTATCGCATCCCCTATACAAGGTGTCATCAATGAAAGATCGTTTGGAGCGCTTCATGTTCGTCATTAATTTATGGAGAAAGGTTGTCTAGAGAAATAGGCGGATACGATGACGAACTTTGAGTATAAGAAGGATTTCCATATGGAAGATCGCTCATCCTAATTATGTTCAGCTAAGGAACAATAAGCGAAATTCGTAGTAAATTGATACTTCAGACCATAAATCCAAATGCAAGAATCAGGCACATTGAAACTTGAAGGCGGGCGGATACTTTGAATGAATAAAATGATAGAAGACGATAACAAATAATTGAGAGCTTCAAGATTCCAAGAACCATCGACGGTAGCAACATCAGAGATAATGATGCTTTCATCAATGTGTTCGGGATTGAGAGCATAAGAGCGAAGTGGTCCAAGATTAGGAATCTAGTTATCATCCCAAAAGCGAGTACCTAAACCATTACCAATTGATCATGCAATGTTTCGGTGAAGATCGTCCCAAATAGATGAGAGGGCACGCCAGAGGAGGGGAGCTATTCGCCCAGTGAATGGACATAGGGAAAAGATTAGTAATTTTATATTTCTCTGGAAGGATAGAAATCCAAAAAGCACCGGTTTGAGTTACCAAAGCAAATTAGAGCTTCATAATAGAAGCTATGTTTTGTTTGTAGATGTTAAATAACCACAGACCTCCCCTATCGGTAGGTTGGCACATCGTACTCCAATTGACAAGAGAAACCTTACAAGCATTTGGTGTCGAACCCCAAATAATGTGACGAACAATGATCTTGATATCATTGCAAACATTTTTCTAGATGAGACAAGTTTGCATGAAATAAACAGGAATGTCAGTCAAAACGGATTTCGCAAGGGTGATGTGGTATGCTAGTGAAAGGGATGTCATCGACCATCCATTTAGTTTCGCTCGTATCTTTTCGAGAATAAAGTTACAATTCAAACATCAGGCACCTTTATTAATGACTGAAACTAAGATATTTTCCAAGGTAATCAACCAATTTGAATCTGAGATGAAAGCCAATAGTCATTCTCATATTATGGGGGACATTCGGGGAGAAAAAATTTGGGATTTATTCTTACTAACCCGATGTCCCGAGTATTTGCCAAAATCAAAGGATAAAATCCATTATTGTAGCTTGAGCTTCAAAAGCTTCAGAATATAAAATTAAGTCATCTGCGAAGAATAAGTGGGAGATGGTAGGGCCATTCCTTGATGATTGAAAGGGAGACCAGATTTTGGAATCAACCGCATGGGAGATATAGTGACGAAGACACTCCATGGCAAGAACAAATAAGTAGGGGGAGAGGGTATCCCCTTGACGGATACCTCTTTCAGGCATGA